TTATTTCTGGAATATTACCGTATTTTTCGGACCATAAGGTGCACTGGACTATAACGCGCACTGTCGATGAACGGGTCTGTTTTCCTACATAAGGTGCACCGGGTTTCTATGAAGAGCTCTTAAATGAAAGAAAACAGTCGGATAAGTCAAGCTTTACTCAACTCATTCCTCTTGCTTCCTTCCTGTAACATTGATTCATTCATGTTGAGTTCTCTTGCAGATGCTCTGTTCCCATGTTGTTGTGGTATATGTTGTTCAGGCATTTTTCAAAATTTTGCTATGTAACTTTGCATCTGTTTTCATGGATGCCTGGATGTTAAACTTAACTGTTACACCTGGTAAAGCAGCAACGCTGATCATTTTATTGAAGATGAAAGAATTCAGACAGTTTTTAACTCTCAGTGTGCCGCAGTGTTCGTTTCACTTTGGGACCTGAAGTGGACGGAGTTTTGGACCCAGAATACTATGAGTCCAAGAGGCTCCTGGCTACGGTAGCCATAATACTCCAACAATCCATCAAGCGGTGCGGCTTCGTAGCTTATGATAGTCGTACTAAAACATTTTTGACAGATTTTTGAGCGCCGTGTAAAATCGGTTTGAGGCCAGTAAACAGTAAAATAAGGCGCACGGAATGTAAGGTGCACTGGTTCACAGATGCAAGATAGCGCCTGTGTTTGGCTGTGCCGCTTCTTCTGTCCATCCGTTTGTTTACTTTTCATGTTGTGCTAGTGTCTTTTCTACACTTTTGTCCAGCATCATCTCCCTCTGGATTTATGATCGCCATGCGTTATTGCGATAGCGTTAAATCTGCTAATGATAATTTTCAGAGTCAACGAAACAAGGGCGTTTTCCCGGTTTACCTCCATTCTTGCTGGTCAGCTCTTTTTTGCTTCCCAGGCCTCATCGGAGGTAATGGGGGAAGAGAGCGGGCTTTTTTGGGCTGCTTCGTCGGCTTAGCAGAGAACTGGATCTTCAGGGGCTTTACTCTTGGGCTGCTGCCAATAAGATACGCCTGAGACTTATTGGAGCTGGATTATTCCCCACAACTCCCTGTGTTAACCACCCGGGCTGTCACCTGAAAGCATGGAAAGCCACAGCTCATCGCAGTAGGAACCCTGATTTACCGTGTGGCTCACCACATTGTGCGGACTCTGTTCCTGGGAGTTAAGGCGTCTGTTAAGGATCTCAAAACTGGATTATAGATGGCAGAGAGTTGGCGTCGTAAACCACGCCTCTGTTCAAAGATGGTCGCTCACAGTGGACATAAATGGCTTCTTTTGCTCCTCTTTCAAACCATCTGTCCTCTCTGTCCAAAATGTGAACATTGGCATCCTCGAAAGAGTGTCCTTTATCCTTAAGATGCAGATGGACTGCCGAGTCTTGTCCTGTGGAGGTGGCTCTTCTGTGTTGTGCCATGC